TGAGTCAGCCGATGAACATATGCCTGCCTGCTGGCTGCATGCCAGGTAAAGATGTCCGAATGCCTGGCGACTCTTTTGACCTCATGCCCCGAAGGTTAAAATTGGAAATGGGAGAAGAGAAGGGGAGAGGAGAAATCATCTCGGTCTGAAAACCTTTCCAAGTGGTGAGACTCCAAACGCAGAAGAAAACCCAGGAAAAACAGCCGCCCCAGCATACTAGAACTTCAGAAACATCCCCATCTCTGAAGTCAGTTCCCTTTGCACCTGTAACATCGGGGTGGGAGACTGAGTGCCACTCCTTCCGCTCACCTGAAGTGCACAGCTGGCCCACAGGTGAATGGGTGCTCACCTAGTCGAGCTGAAGGCACTGGGCATTTGTGAGTCCTGGTTTGCACTCAGCCAGGTGCTGGGATGTGCCCAGGTCAGGACCAGCCTAGACAAGGTATGGAGATGTAGAATGCAGACAAGGAGCGGGTGGTGTTTGGTAGAGAGGGACAGGAAAACATGTTTGCCCTCTATTGGGACAGATGATAACTCTGTAATTGAGGTCAGGTGATGTGTGATGCACACACTAAATCAGAGACAGACCCAGACTGGTGGTAAAAGGGGTGGAGGCTGGAGTGAACCAAAAGAAGGCAGTGTGTGATCTGCTTCACCACGAGATGCCAGGCAGAGGAAAGAGAAGAGGCCTGTGGTGAGCACAGGATAGACCATGGTTGTCTATGGTGGGATGACTAAGAGAAAGAACAGGTGCAGAGGGATGTGGCACCATCTTGCACATGGTAGCCAGGATGTTGGCATCTTCCTCAGCAACAGAAACCCACTGGGTAGCTCTGGGCAGGGAACAAACATGATTGGATTTAGCTTTTGTTTGGTTTTGATTGTTGAAAACTCTCCTGGAAGAAGAGTGCAGGAGCTAGTGTCCAGAACCTAGAGGTCAACGAGGAGGTAGCCAGGCATCAGATTGGGAGATGGTGCGACTTGGGCCGTGGCCAGCTGTCAGGATTGCTGTGTGCAGAGGCACAAGATTGATGGGTAGCTGGACAAGGCATGAGCCCCCTGTGGCTCTTCCAGTGCCCAAGTGCCTCATGAGCTGTCACTGCATGCCTGAGCCTGGGAAGGAGAGCTCTGAACAGGATCAGACAGGAAATGAAACCATGGTGGCCTTTGGAAGCCCAGAATGGAGTTTCGTACTACACGCTGAGACCTGACTCGTCTTTAAATTTTCTTCCTGTTTTTATGTATGTGCATGTGTATATATGCATGTCTCTGTGATTACACATGTGTGCTGTATAGTGTGGTCCAGAAGAGCACATGGATTCCCTGAACCAGAAGTTACAGATGGTTGTGAGCCACCTGACTTGAGTGTTGGGAACCAAAGTTGAGTCCTGTAGAACAGTGAGCACTGTTAACTGCCGAGCGTCTCTCCAGCCCCCTCGTCATTAGTTTTGGGGAACACTGAAGTAGTAGGAGCCCTGGGCTTATATGTCACCCATGGTCCTCCCCATCCTCATCCTTCCTCTGGCTTGGGTCACTCTCTCTGCCAGCCTGTTATCTGGACTTCCCAGGCCTCATGTGGAAACACAGTCACCAAAAATTCTCATTCTAACCACTTGTGGGAGACTGACACTGTGACTGTCACTAAATGACCAGGTGGACAGCTGAGAAACTAATTTGTACCAATATGGTAGCTGTCCCCGAGGTTTAAAAGGGCTAGTGGGTGGGCGTGAAAGGGAGAAAAATCCAGAAAAGAGGGTATCCCAAACCACAGCACTTTTAGATGGCAGGCAACTGTCTCAGACTCATTCATGCAGATGTCATGTGTACAGTGGCCCTCTGTCCTCCTGGGTGTCCCTCTGTCCTCCTTTTTTCCCCTGGCTCATTCTTGATGCCCCCCCCCAACAGTCACTTCCTGGTTTTCTATTTTCTCTGTTCCGTGCTGTAAGCTGATTCCAGCATTTGCTTGCGCCGAGCCAGCTGTACTTAGGAAGGTAAATGTAACGGAGATGAATGAATAATCACCCTCTGGTGTACATCTGTGGTCTGGGCAGATCTGGCTTTAACAGAAAGCTATCTGGGCTACAAGGAACGATTAATACTGACTGACCGAAATCTGCATGATTCGGTCCTTTTTTTCTTACAAAAGAGGCTTGCTGGTTTTGTTTTGCGCATTCCCGGGAATCTTAATGACATAAGAGCCACAGCGTGTCTGAGACATGGCTGTCATCCTAGAAGTTGTAGGGGTAAAAATTACATTTAATATATGGGGAGGGAGCTGTTAGGGGAGAGACACGTGTGCATACATGCATGTACACATGTCGTGGCATGTGTGTGGAAGTCAGAGGACATCTTGCTAGAGTCAGTTTTCGCCTTCCACCACATGGAGTCTGGGGCTGAAACTCAGGAAGAGATTTAGGTTCATTTTGAAAAATCACAGTTCATGGTTGAGGGGATGTCTCAGTGGGTAAAGGTGCTTGCCACGGAGCCTGGAGGCCGAAGCTTGATCCTGCAGGAACACTGGTGGGGGGAGAGAATCAACTCCTACAAACTGTCCTGATGTCCATACCGATGCCATGGTGTGTGCATGCAAGTGTGCACGCTAGAGCACATGCATCCACACACCCACGTGTGCACGTGCGTATACAAACACACACAGAGACACACTAAATAAGTGTAATTTAAATTTTTTGAGGAGTTCAATAGGAGCAAGTTTGGGCAGGGAAATTGCCCCTGCCTCCCTTCTGAGAACTCTGAGAAACTTCCCAGGGATTAGAACTGTACCTCACTTTCCATTCAGTTTTTAGGTACTTTTTGGAACCTGGGTTGTTGTGTTTACATATGTGTGTTTTTATTCCCTCGGTCTTGTTCCTTTTTTTTAACTGAATGAATTAATAACTGTTTTATTAAATGATGAGGTAATGTTCCAGGTTCTGTTCTTGCAGAAGCAGAGGCCTTCACTTTCTCATGTAACATTTTCTCCAGCCCCTTTTTTCTAACAAAAGAGGCTTGCTGGTTTTGTTTTGCGCATTCCCGGGAATCTTAATGACATAAGAGCCACAGCGTGTCTGAGACATGGCTGTCATCCTAGAAGTTGTAGGGGTTTAAAAATTACATTTAATATATGGGGAGGGAGCTGTTGGGGGAGGGACACGTGTGCATACATGCATGTACACATGTCGTGGCATGTGTGTGGAAGTCAGAGGACATCTTGCTAGAGTCAGTTTTCGCCTTCCACCACATGGGAGTCTGGGGCTGAAACTCAGGTCATGCTGTTGAGCCGCCTGGCTCGCCCCTCACCATAGAATTCTCACCACAGAAAGCGGAAGTTGAATTGTGCCCCTTAAAGGGTGTTCCGGTAGAGTGTTCTCCAGACTGTGGGCCATCCTGCCACCCTCACAGTCCCTGGATAGCCTTCAGGTAGCTGTAGGCTGCAGGAATCGTGCTCTAAAATGAATATGAGGTGCTAAGTTTCCCTCCCACCTTAAGTTTTCTTTCATTTTCTTCATATCCTGCCTCTTTCCAAAGCCTCACAGAGAACAGCAGCTAAAGCCAGTCCAGAGCCACCATTGTTGAGGGTTACAGGGTCAGGGACCTGTCTGGGATTGTGCACCAGCTCCCCCAATTTAAGTTGAGAGGTGAGGGGTGTCCTGCTCTGGATGGATTTCCGTATCAAAGGCAGTGTTTGTTCAAACAAGGTGCCATGTGGAGGAAGCCCACACCAGGAGGCTGGCTCCCAGAGTCACATCCCAGCCAGATCTGACCGTACCCTTGGCCTTGGGAATGCCCGCTGATCCTGTGAAGCCCCTGTGTGCCTTTGCTCAGTAGTACTGTAGTTGTTTGGGGGATGGGGAAAAGTTAATGTTCTTTTAAAAATCGTTGCTCGATCCCCCCCCATTACTGTATGTGCCATTGAAATATTCATCCATAGAGAAGGTATGTACACATGGGAATTTTTGCTGACCTATGTCTGTAACCAGTCTGTCAACACAAAACATCTGGGGGAGGGAGAGATGGCTCAATGGGTAAAGAGCTTGCTTGCCAGCCTAAGGACCTGAGTTCTAGTCCCGGCACCCACATAAAAGTTAGACACGGCAGGAAGCGTGTGCAGCCCAGGCACCGGTTGGCAGTTGAGATGAGTGAATGCAGGCCGCTCACTGGCGGCCAGTCTAGCTAAAACAGCGAGCTCCGTGTTCACCGAGAGAACCTGTCTTTTAAAAAAGGTGAGAAGCAATACTGAAGATATCTGCTGTTGTTGATGGTATCCACGGGTACACACGGGTGAGCACACCCATACACACGCATGCACACACGTATGCACCACGTACATACACATGGCACATTTTTTTTAAAATAAAGGAAAAAGAAATAGGGTTGGCCTTCCTCTGGTTTCCCCAGACTTTATTTAGCGTGACGTGCGTAAGTACGCGTGCAGTCGTTTACCTGTGGGCGCTTTGCTGTGTTCTGTTTGTGACGTTCGCTCATGTGCTTCATGCTGCCTTGACTCGTTTAGTCTCCGTTTTATCTGATATATGAATATTCCTTGCTTCAGCTGTTTATGTAAACAGGACTGTGGGTTATTTCCTGTCTGGGATATGGTGAACAATGTAGTCCTGTCTTTTAGTAAACCTTTGCCTGACCCAAGGTGGTTGTTCTGCCGTGCAGTTTGTTTGTGTGAGCTTAGTGTGTCCTGCCAGCCTTACACAGTGGACACCCCAGTAGATCCCCACCAGCCCCACAAGCTCACGGCAGACGCTGAACCATCCATTTCTCTCAGTGTGATCACTCTGGGGAACGTACTGCACCAGCACATTGCGGCTGTGATTTGCATTTTCTGACTTCTATTGAAATTGACCCTGGAGCCTTGTTCCATTTAAACAAGACAGTTAAAACAGAACCATCTGTCCACCTTGGGTCTTCAGTTCACAAACACCATGGCTTTCCTGAATATACAACTGTCCAGACTGCTTCCACAGCCTCTAACTGACTTTCTGTAACCCAAGGAAAAAGAAGAAAAATGCCTCTACGTGCCCCGTCAGTACCACCCGGGACCGAGTGCCCACGTACCTGTACCGCATGGATTTCAAGAAGATGGGCAAATGTATCATCATAAATAACAAAAACTTTGACAAAGTGACAGGTGGGTGTGGGGCCGGGCCAACCTCTCCTGACTTTCTCCTCCTCCTTTCTCCACGTTGTACCAGACACTCATCAGAGAGCAGCCATGCCGGCGGCTCTCCATGTCCAGGAGAGAGGGGTGCAGAAAATTTTTAGTCTGAGGCCCTGCCGTGTACTGTGGGAGCCTGATTCAGTTACTTTCCTGTTGCTGGGATAAAATGGCCTTTTTTCTCGGGTAGTTCTAGATCATGTGACATTGGCAGCCAGTACTAGCCATCCCAAGACCATGAGGAAGGTCACCTTGAGTGGAGGCTCGGTCCTTTGGAGTTTGCCTCTGGTCTCACGTGTGCAGTTAAGCTGTAAGGCTGAAAGGTGTTGTTTCTCAGGGATTGTTGCTGGAGCATCTGGTCTGACTGGAGCCTTTTCTCACTTCTTGCCTTACCCTCACAGGTATGGATGTCCGGAATGGAACGGACAAAGATGCAGAGGCCCTCTTCAAGTGCTTCCGAAGCCTGGGTTTTGAAGTGGATGTCTACAATGACTGCTCTTGTGCAAAGATGCAAGATCTGCTTAGAAAAGGTAAGTGTGGGCTGTCCTTGCATGTCCCACTCCAGGCACCTCGAGGAGCAGGGATACGTGGGGCAAGTGCCCTAAAGTAGAACCCTGCCTGCTTGTTGGACAGGGACCGACAGACAGCAGGGATCAGCTTCCCTTAACTACAGATCTGAAAAGGAAGAGTTTATGTGCCTTTTTACTTTTAATTGACTTCTTGGGGCCCAAGAGATGGCTCACTGATTAAGGGTGGACACTGAACTGCTCGTGCGGAGGTCTGAGTTCGGTTCTCAGCACCCGCTCCAGCTCCAGAGGATCAGATGGCCTCTTCTGGCTTCTGCAGGCGCCTGAACACACACACACACACACACACACACACACACAGAGGGAGAGGGTAAGTTAACTATTAATACAAATCACATAAAGTACCTGTGTGAGTGCCAGCACACAGGAGGTACACCTGAAATGGCTGTTTATGGTATCAGTTAGTAGGCTGGTTGGTGTCACAGTCATAGACAGCAGAAGTCAGGCAGTCAGCTGTGATCTCCACGATTCCTCTCCTAATCCCTGTAGTGACAGCCATCTGATACTTTTTCCTGTTAACTTTCTAGTTTACACACAGGGTAATGGTTTTCCTGTACGTCATTGTGCTTGTTCTCATGACCCTCACTCTGCTCCACGCCCCCCGCTCCCCCCCCCCGCCGCTCTCTTCTGTCTTCTCTCCTGCTTTTGTATCATCACATGTGTCCCACTCACCCCCGTTAACGTCTCTGCTCCCTCTCCTGATACCCTTCCAAGTTCTGTAACCGACGTGTGCACACACACATACACGCTTGCTTGCACACATACACGCTTGCACACATACACGCTTGCACACATACACGCTTGCATACTTCTAAAGCTGGTATCTGCATACAAGAGGAAACGTGGGTCTTTGTGTTTGAACTAGTTGGTTTCCCTCAACACACTATTTCCGGTTCTGTCGGTTTTCCTGGTGATGCCATGTTTGCAGTTTTCTTTATGGCTGCACCAAACTCTGTTGTGTGTACAGACATGCTTCCTGTATCTAATTTCTGTTGATGGCCTGTTCTGCCCGTGACTACTGTGACTCATACAGCAGTAGACATGGATGTACATGCATGCCCGTGGCGTGCCGACTTAGAGTCCTTCCCGAGTGTATTCAGTTTCTTATTGTGATAAGTTACGTGTAATACAAAGCCACTGTCTTAATCACTTTAAAGAGAACAGTTCAGCAGAGTTAAACCCAGTCACCTTGTTAGAATTCTTTTCCCCTTCCATAACCAAAGCAACCAATCTCCTAACCATTCTGTTTCCCCTCCCTGAGCCACCGACACCCCCCCCACACACTTCTGCTTTTCCTTCGTGAACTACTTTTCATATCTCACCAGAGCGAAATCTTACATCGTTTGCCCCCCCCACCCTTTTTTTTTATGACCAACTTATTCCTCGTGGTCTAACCTTTTCTTTTCTTCAACAAATGCTTGCATGATGCTTCTTCCTATGTATCTCACTTAAAAAGCAGTAACTGCTGCTGGGTGTGGTGGAGTACACCTTTAATCCCAGCATTCAGGAAGCGGAGGCAGGCTGAGTTCGAGAACAGCCTGGCCTTCATAGCAAGTTCTGGGCACATTTACATATATGCTACTGCAACCGTCTCTTTATAGAGAGAGAGAAGAAAGGGGGAGGGGGTGTAACTAACCTCTCTGCTCTCACAGAACCAGCCCACAGAACGACTATATTCCTCTGTTCCCTAGTGTCCTCTAGTGGCTGTTGTGGTGCCTGGGTTCCATCTCAGAGAAATTCTAGAATTCTCCCCCACCCGTCCATAGTCTTTGCCGAGGCAGCCCAGCCCAGTGCTTTGAAGGGGCTCCGTACCATGCTCTTCCCTGGCCCCAAAAGATCCTTCTAGATGATCCTAGGGCCCATCCCTAAACAATTAGTGTTGATTGCTTCCTTCCAGCCTCTGAGGAGGACCACAGCAACTCCGCCTGCTTCGCCTGCGTCCTGCTGAGCCACGGAGAGGAGAATCTGATTTATGGGAAAGATGGCGTGACACCCATAAAGGATCTGACAGCTCATTTCAGGGGAGACCGATGCAAAACCCTGTTAGAGAAACCCAAACTCTTCTTCATTCAGGTGCTTTGGAAGGCCAGTGGGATTGCGTGTGGGAAAAGTTAACAGAGCGCAGGGGCCGTGTTACCTGTACAAATCAACATGCCGATTTCCTGGGGTATGCACACTGGGGCCGGGGCTTCCTGCCCAGAAATGGTTGGCACAGGCACTTGCTATGTTTCTGTAAGGCTTCACTTTGTAATCTGATTCAGTCCTGGTTCTTATCTCCTCATCAGCTGGCCACCGAGCTCCGGGTGTGCCAGGCAGGGCTTGAAAACAGCACAAGCAGGTTCTGTTCCTGTCCATTCGATCTCTACTCTGATACGTTTTAGGCATGCCGTGGGACCGAGCTCGATGACGGCATCCAGGCTGACTCGGGGCCCATCAACGACACTGACGCTAACCCCCGGTACAAGATCCCGGTGGAAGCTGACTTTCTCTTTGCTTACTCCACGGTTCCAGGTACCCTGTCCACTGTCTGCTCACCTTACCTCGTTCCTCGGTCCACATGCAGGTGTGAGGGCTATGTCGGTCTCCTGCTGCTACAGTAATTCATTATAGATTTTAGCACCCATAACTCAAAAACCATTTCAAGATTTGAAATTGAGTATCAGTATCCCACCCAAAAGTTTGGATTCTGGAGCATTTCAGATATCATATTTCCTTACTAGAAATGCCCAACCAAGGGGAGCTGACTCAGTGGGTAAGCTACTTGCAGTTCAAACACGAGGACCTAAGACTGAATGAATCCCCAGCATGTGTATAAGAGCCGAACATAGCTCTGTGTGCCTGAAACCCCAGCACTGGGTGTTTAGACGAAGGAAAATCCTGGAGGCTGACTGGCTTGCCACTCGAGCTGGGTTGGCAAGCTCTAAATTCACTGACAGACTGTCTCAAAAGCTAAAAATCAATTCAGGAAGATACCCAGCGTGGGCACAGGTCTCTACACCCAGGTGTGCATAAGCACATACCTACACACGCACACATACTTACACACAACACATAGAAAGAAAAAAAAAACTACTGTTCAAGCAGTAACACCTCTGCAGTTGTTCTGAAGTCTGAGGTACTTGTGCTCATGCCCAAGCTTTGAGGATAACAGACAGAGTGACTGAGGCCATATAAACACCATGTTGGTAGTTTAGAGGCCAGAATCCCAGAGGAAAGGGCAGGGCATCCTCTCTGTTGGAAGCACATAGGGAAATCTGTCTCCTCTTTTTCCTAGCATGTTGGATCTTCTAGATCCCTTGACTTGTGCCCCTCCCCTTTTGAAACCCCTTCTCGCTCTCTCAGTCCTTTCCCTGTCAACCTCGCAAACACTGTTCTCTCTCATTCCTCTTCCCTCTCTGGGGCTGGTTCTACCTGGCAATCCAGAACCATTTCCCTACCCGGAGTCTATAATTTTAATGGCATCGAAAAGTCCTTTTTGTCATGGAGGGTAACATGGTCACAGATTCCAGAGTTAGGTGTGTCCCTCTTCGGGGACCACTACTCTACCTGCCACAGAACTCATTCCTCTCCATGAGAAAATGGAATTCTCCCCTCCCCCCCTTTTTTTTTAACTAAGATTAATAATAATGGCAAGACTTTCCCAATAAGCAATAATTGTGCATATAACTGTAAAAATTACGTCACTTTAAATAATTTTAAACAGTCTCTCCCATCATCCTTATAGTAATTACATAGGTGATGGAGAAAACCATTGTTGCTTTTGCAGTTGAGAACTTAATTGAACTTGGGTGAGCATCAGACGTTTGTTGAGTCATAGACCCGGATCCTTCAGGCTGTGAGCATGGCAGGTGCCACGCAATGCCAGGAACGAGTGTGGTTTCTTGTTATTTACCAAACCCCGTGTTTGCCTGAGTCTGTTCCGTACAAGCCTTCCCTTTGTTGGGCACAGACCCCTCGTTTGAGTGAGAATTCCCCAGCTGTGGGACTTTTGCAAAGGCTTGGTACAGAGGTATTAGTTCCAGTAAATGAGTCAGTGTATCTGGAAAAAAGACAAAACAAAACCAGCTCTGGCAGGCTCTACAGATGGGTTCTGTGAGTATGCTAGAGTCACACTTTTAAGCACTGTAAAGGGTAAAAAGTACGTCGGTCTCCTGCTCTTGGGAGGTTGGCAGTACAAAAATTGGCAGGCATCGGTGTGAGTAAACCCAGCATGGAGCTGTCGCTGCTCAGAGAAGGTCTGGAGGAACTCAGGGAGGAAGGCAAACGCCTCTACAGGGGCCAATAAGAAAGCTTTCTTTAACGTTACTGCCATAGCTGACCCCCGCATTCAGTCATCAGTTTGGACTAGGGCTAATGCCCAGTGCACTTCCTGGACAAGACCGAGTGGATCACAGATATTCTGATGTCTTGGGTCAACAGACATCTGTTTCTGTGCCAACTGGTCTCAGGAGAGGACTCTTCCTACTTAATAAATGGCTGCCTTCTTCCTCTGTCCTCACATGGCAGAGAAAACAGGGGAAAAGCAGAGGAAGTGTTCTGACATATCTTCTCATAAAGACACTAATCCCACTGTGCCAGGGACCCACCCCTCAGACCTCACTAACTTAAAGCCATCTGTAGAGGCTAGGACCTCAATGTGTAAGCATGAGGGAGGGGGTGGGGCAGAGTTCAGTCTCCAGCTTAACATGTGACAGCCTCGACAGTACACAAAGCCTTACCGTGGACTCTGTGTGCTGCCAAACAGCCTGAATTTTGCCCTGATAAAGAAATATGAGGAAACTGTTTCCAGGTAAAGAGTCAATAGGATAGTATCTGTATTGTTCAGATGGTTACCTTGGAGGCCCTAGAGGTCAGAGGTTAACAAGCACAAACCTGAGGAGATGATAGTGCATGCATCCGTGTGCACATCCGTGTGCACATCCGTGTGCACAACCGACCAAGCCACTGGGTTGAATGACACCCTGTCTGCAGACAAGTGCATTGTTGTGTGACTGACTACGCATCAGCCCCTGGCTTGGGCTGGTGGCTGCTAGTGTGTGCACTGCAGACAAGAATTCTAAGGACACTACAGCCTGCTGTGTGGCACTGCTGACTGAACCCTTGTGATATAACTAGGTGTTAAGGTCACTGGAGACGCTGATCCAGTTCTCACTCTCTTGGGTTCGGCAGGATGAAGCAGCTGTGCAAATTACCATGCGAGCTGAATACAGCTTAGTGTCAGCTCTTGATGAACCGAGAGCCATGTACTCTCCCCTCTCCCTGGGTGCAGTGGCCCGAGGTCTTCAGCTTTGCTGCTTAGACGGATACATCAGACAGCACGGTGGCCACTTTTAAAAGTCACGAGCAAAGGCAATCCTGTCACCAAAATGTCCATCCCAGGATAATGAATGAAACTCCACATGGCATGGCTGTGATTTGGAGATTTCATTCAACATGGTGGCCTGGTGAGGCTGGACGTGGACTGTCTGTCTCTCTAGGCTAGTGTCCTCTGACCTCTGTCCTTTAGGGGTTCGCCTGTCAGCGTGTGGTCATGTAGATGTGTTTTCTGCCAGCCTTGGGAATGCTGTGGGGATCCTGATCTCCTAATCTTCTGCCTGGCTTTCCAAATTGCAAGCAACAGTTTTAGATTCCCTCAGGGTCAAAGATGGCAGGAGGTCACAGAAGGAGAGAGGCGCAGTCGGGGATCACGGTCTAGTGAACTCTGCATTGTTAGGAGTAAAGCTAGCCGCTCTTGTGAGTCCCTGGGGTCCCTGGGACCTGCTCCTCCAGGTCTGCTGAGATGTTCCCCTCCTTATAAGACATGTGGGTCAGGTGACCCAGGAAAACTCACAAATCAGTTTTTTACCAGACACCTCGTATGGCCCATGAGACACACACCTCTTGTCTAACTGCCTGCTATCCTAGATCAGAAGCCTCTCCTGCCTCTGTCCCTAAAGCAGCCAGCAGCACTTGCCCCTAATCTCCTCAGCAGGCCCCACCCCTCGTTCTGCGTCTCCCGGCAGTAAACACGCCCGGAAAATCTCTTCAGTTTTCTAACTCTATTTCCTGGCGCTGGGCTAAGGAAGTAGTGCTCACTCCATAAGGGTAGTGAGGTGCTGAAAAGCTATGAAGTGTACCCTCCTCCCTAGAGGACTCAACGCACACCTCACTCTCTGCTTGGTATCTCAGGTATCCCAGATGCAGATGCACTGGACTTTAGTGCCATCGGCTGTAATTAGGTTTCTGTGCTGGGACACCGAGCATTCTGAGCTGCTTCATAGAGTGCTTCACACCTAGGATGTGTGTTTTTGAGACAGAAGAGAGGGAGATGATATCCAGAAACCCATGCTATACAGTGCTGCAGGTCTGTTCTTCCCATAGTTCTCAGGGTTGGCTAATGGATCTCTCTCTCTCTCCCCCCTCCCCCTCCCCCTCCCCTTTCCTTCCCCCTTCCCCTCCCCCTCCCCCTCTCCGCCTGAAGGCTATTACTCATGGAGGAACCCAGGGAAAGGCTCCTGGTTTGTTCAGGCCCTCTGCTCCATCCTGAATGAGCACGGCAAGGACCTGGAGATCATGCAGATCCTGACCAGGGTGAACGACAGGGTGGCCAGGCACTTCGAGTCCCAGTCTGATGATCCACGCTTCAACGAGAAGAAACAGATTCCATGTATGGTGTCCATGCTCACCAAAGAGCTCTACTTCAGCCGTTGACCGCCCCTTCAACCGAGAGCCTACCGTCGCTCACTGATGAATCCGGTTTTTATTTTATGTTTTTGTTCTGATGCTCTCAAAATATCCAGGAATGTTAAGGGGATTTAATTTAAGGAAAGTATATTGATCCGGTAGGGAGGAAGTTCTCTGGTGATGTCTGATATTCTGGGTTTCCAGATTTTTGTTGTTGTTGTTGTTTAATAACTTTGTTCATCTGATGACTTCACACTTTTCCTTTAAAGTTAATTTCCTGTTCCCGCCCCCCCCACCGCTCTCCTTGTCATCTCTTGAGTGCATGAATGACCTCAGGAGAAGATATTGGTGATGACATGAGTGGAAAGTCAGAGCCTTAGTTGAACTTAGCAAAGAGAATCCCAACTCTTGATGAAAGAATACAGCTGAGACACTTGTCGGCCTCCATTGGAGAAGGTGGCTGCTGAGGGGTTTGAATGATTGTTTTCAGTGACTTAGGACAGATTCTTCAGCAGACCGTCCCAGGTAGCTGAAAGGAGACAACAGTTAATATTCTAATATATGGGACCCAGTCCAGAAAACAAGCCATTCTAGGAATATTGGTGCAGAAGTGTCGACACAGGGAATTCACTTACGTGGGTAACTAAGAGAGAGCCAAACAGTAGACATCTGTTACCCACTGTGAGGCTATAAGAGGAGTTCGGTTCCCGTGTCATCAGTGAGAACTGTGGCAGGGCAGCCTTCTAGAAGCTAGGACCATGGAGGCTATGGTGATTGGAGCCATGCCCAGGACAAGCCACTGTCTGAGATGGAAACCAAACCAGAACTGAGACAGACACCAAGACGCACACACGTCTCCCCAGGCCTGTGCCCATATCCACCAGTGCCTTACCATTCCAGGGTGCCTGAAAGCCAGCTAGTAAGGCCCTGGGGACCGTGCTACCCTGTGATGCAGAGCAGGGGAGTGGATAGCAAGACAGGGGTAATGGTGGGAATAAACTCGACCCAAAATGTGAGTTAAATAACCATGTTCTCTGGCGTGCTACACTGTATTCATTCATTATTCACTGACGTGTCGATCATCCACACAGGTGCTGAAGAGTAACCCATTTCACTTTTTGTACAGGATAATGTTTTTGTACTTTAAATACATCTGGAAATTCTTTAAAATAGTCCAAGATTTTTTTCTGAGTAATCTTTGGTGAACTCCGGTTCTACAAATGGTTCTACAAATGGCGCCTTAGGCAAAGATCTTGGCAGTGTCTTTCCAAGGTGTCATTTTCTTTGGAATTCGTCATACATTCTTATTTTTCCCGCCTAATAAGTGGTTGACAGATGTTCCTATTTATTGATTAAAATGTGTTTCAGAAACTCCTGACGGATCCGGTCTGATTTCTTCTTGAAGTTATTCAGGGCAGTAAGAAGTTAGAAACAGGATTAAGAATTGGCCCTGCAGAATTGATCTCCATACAAACCATAAGCAATTTTGTTCTGAAGCTAGAACACAGTAAGGACATAGTCACTTGGAAGTCAAACATTTTGTAAAACGGGTCAATCAACCTTAAAGAGGTTTGGGATGGACAACCTCCTGTTAACTTGGGAAAAAAATAGTCTAAAAGTAGACTTCTCTAAAAGAAAATCATTTAAGATCAGTTTGTTGGACTTGACTTGGTCCTTGCCAGCCAAAATACACCAGATGATCAGAGGCCATAACTCAAACACTCTGGTACCCTCCAGCTTCCAGAATCCACAGACTGTTGCAAGCAAAGTGGGCTAGCCTAGCCTTTAAAGATCCCCAGCATAGAAATAAAGACCCAGTGGCCTTGCGGGGAGAGCCCTGTGGGCCTAGCATTTTGCTTTGTAAGTTTTGACAAAGGGGACAGCAATGATCCCAGGTGTTATATTTTGTTGGTATATTTATTTTAACGAACCAAAACCCTATTTATACAAAGTATTAAAATAGAATGTCATTTCTAAGATGAAAGTATACATCTACAGTTGTATTCATAAGTATGCTAACTCAAAAGCTGTATAACAAGTTTTTGAGAAAGGAGACCGGTGCTCTCACATGGAGACACCCCTGGATTCCCCTGTTCCGTTAAGCAGCACATCCACCAAGCTTGCTTCTCTTGTATGTTGAAATTCTGTATCTGTATTCCCTGAATCTGATTGGATCTCTGGATCCTATTGAGTTTTCTGTGTGACACTCTCTATATGCATATAAGGGACATCTAACTGGCTACTGCTTTGAGCTTGTCTATCCTTCTTAACGTCCATCGTTAGCACAGACTCTTTCTTCCCTTTTTCTGTAGTCAGAAATGTCCCTTGGTTCTCAGAAACAGCTAGAGTGAATTTAGTTTTCCAAGTGGTTTAAATGAAAACTGGCCCAAGGGATTCATGTATTTAAACTCTTGGTTTCCAGTTGGTAGTGGTGTTTGAGGGAGGCTGTGGGACCCATAGGAGACAGAAACTTGCTATTAAAGAAGTATGTCACAAAAAGGATCCAGCTTGGTATAACCATTGCCCACTTCCTGTTCCTGTTCCCTCCACACTTCCTGTTCTTGTCCCCCCTACCCCTAGACACACACACTCTGTCTCTCTCTCCTGAGATCTCTCTACTTCTGGCTCCTATTGTCATGCCTTTCCCGCTATGGTGGGATCTATCCCGCCCTTTGAGTCATGGTATTTTATCACAGCAACAGGAAAGCGACGACTGCCTGTATAGGTTACAAACAGTGGGTATTACAAATTGAACACCTAGTATGCAGAAATGTTCTCAAACGGGTTCATGTACTCAGAAAGTGTCAGATTCGAGATATTTTGCATTAAGAATGCCCAGCCAATAAAAACCTGTCCAAACAATCCCAAACTGAAATTCTGAAATCTGAAACACTTCAGGTTCCAATCACTTAGCTTGGGGATACACAACCTGCAGTCTATATTCCTTAAACCCTGCTGGAAAAGCATCTTCATTCTTGAGTACTCACAGGGACAGTGTGCCAGTCAAGATCAGAAATCTTATCCCACATGACGCTCGTGTTCATTCATATCTCCGTGGGTACACTTTGCTTGTTTGTTTATTCATCTATTACCAGTGTGGGAGTTGTGCACATGCCACGCTGTGCATGTGACAGAGGACAGCTCTGTGGAGTCAGTTCTCTCCTTCCACCTTTCTTTGGGCTCCAAGGACAAAACTCTGGTTACCAGGCTTCTAGCAAGCATCTTTATCTGCTGGTCCTTATCTTTGTATATTCAGACCTGCAGATACAAGCTGCTGGAAGGTGGTAGAACCCAGTCCTGGGGATTATTCCTTCCCAGTTCTCATTGGAAGTGAGAACCCAAGCTTCCCTTGCAGGAGTAACCGAGCACTATCTTCATCTCTTGAGGAAGGGTGCTCTGTAACACACTTATTATGGATCCCACAAGGGAGGTGATGTTCTGTGTGGTGTCCGTGGGCATCGTGCGCGCAGATCTGGATCTCTGCCTGTTCCTCTTCCTCGGGGTGCCACCAGCCTATTTAAGGAGTGGCTATTTATATATTCACAGATTGTCCTCGGCTTTATTCCTGACCACATTTCTGTAAACCGTCATAAGCCCGTTATGTCTATGAATGGCTTAAAACAGATTTCAGGATAAAGTGGTGGGATTTGTTGTACACGTGTCATTTCAAACCTCAGATAAAGTCCTCTATGAGAAACGACAAGGCATCTCCTGAAAGGTCACGAGCACTCACTGACCTCTGGTCTGACCTTATAATGCATCATCAGCCATACTAGAATGCTGGTTGTCTGATGACCAAGGGTGGCCTACTGGTATCCTGGGTGCACACCCTTCCCTCCAACTTTTTATCTTTTGGGACCTTTCCCAATAAGCAATGGGCTATCGAGCAGCTGTGGAGAGCCTCAATTTCCAGCAGCAGTCCATCTTAGCATGGCCGGAAACATCCACGGGAGAACTACTTCCTGTTCAGGATACCTGTTCCAAGATACCAAGACCTGTGGATGCTCACATCCCATCAAATGACATTGTATCTCCACATAAACCTATGTATATCCTCCTGCATGCTATCCTTTTTCTATATTTGGATATGCATGCACACATGTTTATTTGTGTGCACCTGTTGGTGTGTGTGGGTAACCCATGTGTGGTCAAGTGCACATGCAGCCCAAGAATGGTATCAAAAGCTTCCTGTCATAAAGGCAAGGTTTTTCAGCTGAGCCTGGAGCTCACAGGGTCATCTAGTGGACTAGCTAGCCAGCCTTCCAGGCAGTAGAAAAACTGTCATCCCACCCAGAATTTACTTGGGTGCTGGTTATCTGAAGTCTGGACATGCCCGTGGAGCAGGTGCTATACCTGCTGAACATCTCTCCATTCCCTTCTGTGTATTTTAAGTCATCTCTAGATTACTCATAACATCTGACACAACATGAATGCTCTGTAAATGTCATAGTACTGCATTGTTTAGGGAGATGATGAGAAAAACCATCTGCTCATGTTTGGTACAGATGCAGGTTTTTACCACATATGTTTAATCTTTGTTTGGTTGGATCTGCAAATGCAGAAATGCCGATGGCTAAAATGAGACAGGTAGGCAAAGAACAGTGTCCCAGCATCTCAGGGATGCTTTTCAGGTCACCTCAGGCATCCTCAATAAGTCTGGCTTTAAATGTGTGTGCTCCTCGGTTTGAAGGATCACGTATTTATGTAGTTGGTTTTCTCTGCACTGAATTCAGTCCTGCAATCGGGGAGCACGTGCCTCCTGTGGAGGCAGACCCTTATTGTCAGCCTAACTGGATTTAGAGTTATCTCGCTGGCTTGAAGGACCCCAGGACAGACTTGAAGAAACAGAGGAGACGGTTGGCTGAGAAACAGTGTTCACCCCGCTTGCCTGACTCCTGAGGTGATGTAAGGAGTCACCTCAGGCTCCCTTCTCCATGCTTTCCCTGCCGTGATAGACCCTCAAATTGTGAGCTGTGATAAATCCTGTTCATTTCCTGTAGCTGTGATAAAATATCTCAACGAAAGCAACTTAAGGAAGAAAGGTTCCTGTGGCTCATGGTTTCAGGACAGACCGTCATTGTGTGGAAACCAAGGCTACAGGAACGTGAAGCAACTAATCACATCATTTCCAGTCAAGAGCAGAAAGACCGAATTAGTGCTTACCAGTTTTCAAGTGTTTTGGTTCCTTTCCCCCACTCTTACACAGTTCAGAAAAATCCTTTTTCTAGGATTCTACCCACCTCAATAAACATATCCATTAACATATCCACAGACATATCCATGAGCCAGTTTCATCATCATGATCCCACAGGGAGATTTCCATTCCCAGTGACTCTACACTGTGTCAAATTGACAATCAAAACCAACCCTCATACTTTCTTAAATCACTTGCCAGGTATGTTACCAGAGCAACTAGAAAAGCCACTAATTTAACTCCAGTACAATTAGCATATGAATTTGGCAATTAGGTGTTATCCAAGCTTTGGAGGTCACAAGCCAGAGTGCTGCCCCACCTCCCCACCCCACCCCCCCCATGGCCTATGGACCTTAAGCTTCCGGCTCCTATCCCAACTCGATTCTGAGTAAACGTTTGTGTTGTGATCGGATCACTTGCGTGCTCTCAGTGTCTGCCGTTGTGCTCAGCAGGCTTTGAGATGTCTTGTAAGTAGAAGGGCGGTGTGCACTGCGTGCTCTCACTGAAGAAAGAACTGTTGTGCACTGAAGCCTGGGTGCTTGTTCCTCCACTCCCACCTCCCTTCCTGCCCTTGTAGCCTCCCAGAGAGTCCCAGAGAGTGATTGTCTCTCTTCACTGCTGTGCCCTCTGGACATAGATTGCTTTCTTGATGGACCTCAGGGTTTGCATGGGATCAGATGTAATGTCATTGTTTTGGATTCATACTAAATCATGAATACAAACACACTATGGACATATTTGGAAAGTCCCTGCCAATACCTCACCACTGATATGGACAGAGAAACTCCATTAGCTTGTAGGTCCATGCGTGAATCAACCAACATCTGAAAATGCATGGTCCAATGCAATGGGCTGCCTTTGGTATGACTTTTAGTTATATGGTTTTGTAAATATTTATGCGACCACAGCTTTGTTTCCAGCATTTAAAGCCAAATGATGCCAAGTGCAGTGTAAATTTAGAAGGGTTATAGCGCCAGATACAGAAGACCAGGGAGTTCTTGAGCTCTGATGGTCTGACCTAGCAAATAGCATGGAGGTTGTGAAGGGGCAGGGAAAGGAAAGGTTAATGACAGGATGGATCTGGTCTAATTCTAGTTTTAGCTTCAGTTGTGTAAAATGTATCTCAGTCAGCAAAGCATTAATAATTAATTAATTAATTTTTATTTTTGGTGGAGAAGCAT